AAAAAAAAAAACAGGCACAGAAATGAGATGGCAAAGTGAAGGTGTTTAATTTGAGATCTTTAAGATGGAGAGCATTCTTTCAAGGGTCAAGACAGACACAAGATGGATATCGAGATTTTATTACTTACAGGTCATGGGGGTACCAAGCATGCCTAGAAAACACACACACACACATACACACACACACACACACACACACACACACACACAGGTCAGAGAGCATGTGGAGGAAGAGAAAGAGAGGGACCTGCTGACCACCGCCTTCTCTGAATCCAGGATACTATCAGACAAGTTTTTCTCAGGGAGGTTTAACTGGTGGGTTTAATGCAAGCAGGCAAGGGTTCTAAGGGGTCACGCTGTGACTGAGAGGGGGTCACGTGACATCTGCACTGTCAGTGAGGATCTGATGGCCAGTGGGACCAGAGAAGTGGGCTGTATTGTGCTATCCCTAGGTAGGTGGTCACCAGTGGGGACAGCTGTATGGGGTGGCTATCTGGACCAACCACTTGCAACCAGTGGGAGCAGATGGAAAACTGGACACTGTGTCCAGGATGACTTAGCCCTACGTCTAATACAAGAAAGTCTAAATGAAATTCAAAATGGACGCTGAGGCAGCATAACATTAGAGACATTCATTGCAATAGTCCAGGTCATGTGGAAAAAAGGGAGCTTCAAAGTAGAACACTGTGAAAGAGAAAGAGGGAAGGGATCATTTAAATGTAGGATTTTCTGGATTTTTTTAGATTAAATTACAACTACTACATTATATAAAAGGTTGGGAATATAAATGAATACTTTATTTTGAAAGGGAAATCTTACCAGCACACCATTGTAAAGAATTGTTTCAAAACACTTGCACAAAGTCAAAAACATCTTTTAAAAGATTTCTTTTAAAATAAGTACACTCTGGGACGTCAAGCATTTATAAAGATGTCTGACTTTACCAAATACGTAAGAAATTGGCCTGATGGTTAGGCATATTATTGCACACAATGCAAATCTAAAATTCTCCCTGACTTTATGTAAAATTCCCATGGGACACATGCCTTTGAAAACATACACTATTTCTGTATTTATAGAAAAGTTGGAGCTTTTTTTTTTTTTTTTTTGAGAGATTTTCACTGTAGGGCGCGTGCGCTCGCCAGATGGACAGAGAGAGACATAGAGACAGAAAGTGAGAAATCACCCCCCAGGGGGGATGGTCACGCCGCAATCCCTTCTCCTCCATTCTCCTCTCGGGATCTTGGGCACACACACACACGCGCCCGGCGTGAGTTTTTTTTTTTAAGCCACCGGGTCCGGGACACGAACCACGGTCGACTACGTGGGAGTCCAGCAACATAGCCATTACGCTAACTGCTTGTTCCCGAAAAGTTGAACTTTTGATGTCTCTTATGAACACTTAATATTCTTGTTAACATTGCTTTATAATACTGACATTTGGGTTTCAATATCGCGTGTCTTTACACAAGAATGTGAAGTAGTTCATTAGCGTGAGCTTTCTCCACCACAGGGCCAGGTGAAGTACGTGATCTCAGTTTACATGAAGGAAACTGTGAAAGTTTAACTGATGCTCCTAGTAAAAAAAAATCTAATTCTCTTATTGGCAAATGTCACTGATATAATGGATGTTCCAAATTAGGAAAGAAAGTTCAGATCATTATTTCCTCTCTGTATATATGTTTATATTTCAAAATTTTAGAGGTTTATATATTATACAATATACCCATTTTAAGTGTGCAGTGTTAGTAGTTTTAAGTAATTTTAACACTAATTTAACCATTTTATTCACTCAAAATACAGAACTTTTCCATTACCCCTCAAAATGTCTCATGCCCCTTTGCAGTCCCTTCTGTTCAAATTCCTATCTTTGCTAACCACTAAGTTGATTCCCATGGCTATAGATTAGTACTCCCTGTTGTAGAATTTCATAAATCACTCAGGGGACCTTTACAACAAAATGCCAAACTTTTGCACAGTACTCGTACCACTCTCCATCTTAGAGTCTATGACTAAGAGCTTCCACTGCTCCCCATCCTCGCCAGCACTTAATAGTGTCAGGATTTTGTTTTTCTTAGTTTGTTTGCTTTTTTCTTTTTATTTCTTTCCCTTTTCTAAAAAAAAAAAAAAAAAAAAGATTCTTGCCATAGGCCATGTACACTCGCAGGAGAAAGACAGAGAGAGGGAAAGTGAGAAATCACCCAGGGAGGGATGGCCATGCTGCTGGTATCCTCTTTTCTTCCATTCTCCTCTTGGGGTTTTGGGCACCTGCATGCACACACACATACACACGTGCACACGTGTGCACCTGGAGTGTTTTTTCAAGTCACCAGGTCCGGGACTCAAAACTTGGTCAACCACGTGGGAGTCCAGTGCTTTAACTCCCACTGCTACCTCCTGGCCCCTCATCAGTCTTTTTCAATCTTTCTAGTGGCATCATATTGTGATCTAATTTCTATTTCTATTATAGAGATGTTGAGGTATTTTCATGTGCTTATTTGTCATATAATTTGTTTTGGAATTGTCTGTTCAAATTATGTCATTCATTTTGAGGTGGGTTGTTAAAAAGCATGTTGTAGGAATTCTTCATATATGGTAGACATAAGTTCTTTGTCAGGTATATGGATAACAAAGATGTTCTCCTGTCTGTGGCTTTAGTTTTTATTTTTAATGATGTTTTTGACTGTGATTAGGTCTAATATGGTTCAATTACAGTCCGTTAAAAAACAGAACCTTGAATTTCTAATCCTAGCACTTCAAAATTTGACCTTACTTGGAAATGGTTACTTTACAGAGGTAACTAAGTTAAAATGAGGTATGTGGAAACTAAGAAATTTGATCTCATGGAAGTGGAGAACAGAATAGTAGTTACCAGAAGCTGGGGCAGTTGAGATGGAGGGGATGGACTCTTGTTAGCAGATACAAAATTACAGCTAAATAGAAGTAGTTTTAGAGTTCACTAACACTGTCAGCTGACTACAGATAACAATAATTTCTGATATATTCCAATAAGTTAGATGAGAGAACCAAGCCCCCAACACAAAGAAATGATAAAGGTCAGAAGGAACAGATCTGATAATTATCCTGACTTGAACATTACACATCATCTACAAATATTAAAATATCCCACCATACCGGGAACCAGCAGTTAGTTAGTGTAATGGCTATGTCGCTGGACTCCCATGTAGTCGACCACTGTATGCGTCCCGGACCTGGTGGCTTAAAACTCACACCGGGCGCGTGTGCCTGCGTGCCCACCCAAGATCCTGAGAAGAGAATGGAGGAGAAGGGATTGCAGTGTGACCATCCCCCCTGGGGGGTGATTTCTTGCTTTCTGTCTCTCTATCTCTCTCTCTCTGTCTGGCGAGCGCATGCGCCCTATAGCAAAAACCTCTCCAAAAAAAAATATATATCCCACCACACCCATAAATATGTACAACTATTATCAATTTAATTTGCTAACAATAAAGAAAAAAATATGCTTTCTACCCCAGAAAAAAAAAATAATGAGATCATTATCTGGGTCCTACTACACTATGAAATGTATCCTTAGAAAAAGGAGAAATTTGGAGAGACACTTGCATGGAGAAGGCCGCATGCAGAGACCCACGGAGACCAGCGACGCCAACAGCCAAGAGCACCAGGGTCACCAAGGACCCACCCGAAGCTTGGACAGGGACACAGAACAGTCTCCCTCACAGCCTCAGCATGAACTAATTGACACCTCTGTCTTGAACTTTCAGCTTCCGGAAATGTGAGAACATTAATTTCTGTTAACTTTTTTCCCTTCAATTTGCCAGAGGGCACATGTACTCACTAGAGCAGAGAGAAAGAAGGAAAATGAGACAGCACCTCTCATGGGGTGCAATCTCCTCTCCAGCACTCTCCCCTCAGGGTCTGGGCACACATGCACACATGTGCAGTGTGACCCTCAAGCCCCGGGGTCCAGGACTGAAACCACACAGTGGGCCAGGTGTGACCCACCTGCCCTAGACCCTCTTCCAAATTTCTTTTATTTAAGTCACATGGTTTCGGGAACGTGGCTTTGCAGCCCAGTTAAACTAATACAAAAACTACTACCTTTTATTTTATTATTTTATTTTTTTAATTTAGAGGTTAGGAATTTTGGAGTTCTAGTAAATGCTTATCTTTTCAAGGTTACAAAGGTTTACTTCCAAGTATTTGTCTCGATATCTGATAATTAGGCTACACACAGGTGTCCTCCGCACGTCTTCCTCCTCACAGGGTTTCACATTTGGATTTCCTAAGAAAAGCAAGGAAGCCCTTGTTTCTGCCATAATTTCTAGAATTAGGTATAGTTTCCAGTAATGGCGGAAATACAGCGGGTGGCTCTGTCCCCATTTCCTTAGGGTCAACTCAGAGCAAATTCGATTTTCAAGGCGATAAGCTCACTGTTCTTTTGGCTCCTTCACTATTAAGTTGGAAACAATCCTAACAGATGTGTTACTATCAAGGCACGTCTAGGTTCCCTGAACCATTTCTATTGTCTTTCTTCCCCATGAGGTAAACTATTTATGTACAGGTCAAACCAACGTAGCTCTGGATAAATGTCCCGAAAGCACTGAAGCAAGGAGGGGCTTTTCTTCCTGGACGCACTCTAACCCCACGTTCTCAAAGGCATGCTTGCTCCCCAGCACTTCACTTTGAGAAAAGACAAACCTGCAACTCACACACTGACCTCGACCTGGAGAAATTCATATCCCCTTTGGAAGTTACTTTTATGCTCCTCTGTTCTTCAAAGTTTGGAAAGCAAATGCCTTCTAAGGCCAGGCAAAGGACCAAGAAAATAACTCGGTGAATTTTCTCCAGAAAAGATTCCTTTGGAGTGGAATACTTAGCAACCGATACAAAAAATGCTTGCCTTTGCATTCGGGTAATGGAAATACAGTGCTGTTTTCTGATTCCCAGAGTTCTGCTGTGGGCGACAACCAAGCCTTTCACGTACTAACTCCAGTTACTTCCCTTGGTAGATACCTCACCTTTGACTGACAGGTGTCTCCATGTCACAGTCGGCTCTGGTCTGCCAATCGCGAGACATAGCAGGGTCACACTGCTGCCCTCATTCACAGTGATGTCTGAAGAGATATTCATGATCTGGGGAGGAACTGTAAGGAAAAAAGAGAAGTAGCTGAGAATGCACCTTTGTACTTGAAAGCTAACTGCCTATAAATACTTGTATATTTTTATAATGAATAGTCCCAATGACAAATTTTTGGTTGCTTGTCTTGCCAAGGATATGGCCATAGGCAATGCATCCAGTCCACTCCTGATGGAAGGAGTTCTGAGCTATGTGCTACCGTAGCTGGAGGGGCGAGGACAAGGCACCGAAGCCAGGCCATTACTGCTGTTGATGAAAGGCAGTCTTCCTAGAGTTCCTGTCAAGCCACATGCTCTTTCTTTTAGACCACTGGCTTTGCTGAGTAAACACCAAAAAGCCAACCACACTGATGCGGTTACCATTTCCACAGCACTCTAGACCATTTCAAGTTCTGTGATCTGGCACAGGTTTTTCCATACTGGAATTCTTTTCTTTTTCATTTCTAAACCTGAAACGTCCTACCCATCCCTGAAAACATCTCCTCTAATGGGTCCGCTAGATGGTATGGTGGCTGAGGCAGCTGGCTCTTATATGGTCAGTTGCGTGGTTTGAGTCCTAGACCCAGTGACTTGAAAAACATGTTGGGCTCATGTGTGTGTGCCCAAATATGAAGAAGAGAATGATGGAGAAGGGGGTGTGGTATGGCTATTCCTCCTGGGGGTACTTTCTCTTTCTTTCTGTCTCTCTCCAGTGAGTACATGTGCCCTATAGTAATTTTTTAAAATAATATTTAACTTTATTTATTTATTTCAATTTGTCCAGAGAGGAAGAGAGGGAGGGAGGAAGAGAAAGTGAGAAAACAAGCTGCCAGGTCCAGGATTCGAACTGTGGTTGGCCATGTGGGAGTCCAGTGCCCCTGACAACACCTGCTGGCCTCCCCTATAGTAAATTCTTTTTTTTTTTTTTTTTTTGAGAGGTTTTAGCTATAGGGCACATGCGCTCGGCAGACAGACAGAGACAGAGAGACAGAAAGTAAGAAATCCCCCCCGACGGGGGGATGGCCATGCCGCAATCCCTTCTCCATTCTCCTCTCAGGATCTTGGGCACTCACGCACACGTGCCCGGCATGAGTTTTAAGCCAACAGGTCCAGGACGCAATCCATGGTCGACTACATGGGAGTCCAGAGACATAGCCATTACGCTAACTGCTGGTCCCTATAGTAAAGTCTTAAAAAGAAAACAAAAGCAGAAAACATATCCTTTAAAACTCAGGGCAGTTTTCTCTGACTCCCTCTGTCAGAGTTCGCTGCTTTCTCCAGACCTGATCAGTAATGCATTGATGTCCTATACTGTCACCATGAGATTGGACTACAGACTATCTGTCTTCATGGAATCATTCCTATTGGTTAGGAACAGGGTTCTGAATCCATATAGACCAAGGCTTGAACCTACTAGATTATCATGAGCATGGTTGACTGCGTTCCTCTCAGTCAGCCCCAACTCACTCGCCTTGAAATACAGTTGACAGCAGTAGCTAAACTCACCATGTTGTCAAGTTTAAATGAACTAATGGCTTTTCCGAGTGCCTGCCATGAAGCGAGGCCTCAGTACATGTTAGCTACTATGCTGATGGCAACGACAACAAGAGCATTGTTCACAGACGGTTCCTCTTGGGCAGGGAGCATGCCCATTTATCTTTAGCACTGCAAAGCCCAACACGATCCCTGGCCTTCTTGTCTACCTTGTCCCACCTTCAGGTCTTACTTCTCAACTAAGCTCCATGCTCTGTATTACAAAATAACTCCATTTCTTCTCAACTCCTCTCATTACCACTCTTCTGGTCTAGTTTCTCATTGATTTTCATAAAGACGACAGCAATAGCCTCCCACCTGGAACCTTCCTCCTGGTCTTCCATTTTGAATCCCTCCAATCTACCGGTACGTGTGGTCAGAGTAATCTCAAACAATGACCTCACAAACAGCTCCCCTGCTTATCCATCTTGCTCTTTGCTGTCTATTAGGTTTAACGCAAGTTCTGCATGACCTGAGCCCTCTGCTCTGTGGCCCCCAAGACCCTGACAAGCCCCATCTCTATGCAGTCCCCACTCAGATGACACATTGCAACCTCTGGACCCCTGCTTGCCTTGGCACCTGTCAAAAACACCAGTGCTTCAAAGGCTAGCCAGTACATAGTAGTTAAGGTTGCTGGATCCCACATGGCCTACTGCATGGTTCAAGTCCTGGGCCAGGAGAGCTTGATAAATATTCCTGGCATGTGTGTATACATACCCAAAATCCCGAGAGGGAAATGGGGGAGAAGGGATTACTGCGAGGCCATCTCCCCACCCCCATCTCTCTCTTGTGAGTGCACACGTCCCGTAGCAAAACTGAAAACAAAAAAAAAACATCAGAACTTCCACAGCTCTGGTTTCTCTTGCCTGCTTTTGATGCCCTACCTGAAAAGACATAACTCATCGTTCAAGGGGTGCTGAGATATCACCTCACTTCTGTGGTGTTCTTTAACCTTGCCCCAAATCCTAAAAGAACAATCAACTGCCTCTTCTGCAGCATCTGTCGACACCTGGGTCAAGGAGGGGGCTGAGTGTCCTGTCTGTCCCTTCACACAGAGGCAGGTGTTTGTGGACAAGCATGAAATCCCACACATCCCTGTTTCCTCAGCGCCAGGCACAGAGGCTGCCAAGGTAGTGCATGCTTCTGTCCTCTTTGGAAGAAAGAGAGACAAAAAGAAGTGACTGAACAGAAATCCAAAACACAAGGAGAGGTAAAGCTTTGAATGGAAGATTTTAGAAACTAAACCTTTCTTCTACATTTTCTTTCAGATGCTCAAAATAAAACCAAGGGTAAGAGAGAGAGGAGGCCCCAGGCCTTCAAGCCATGCTGATTTATTTGTACTGCCAGTTTAATTATGAATTATTAATTACCAAACAGGTAGAATGCTGGTGGATTTCAAACCACCCTGAGTTGGTGGCGAGGGAGAATTATGGCTGATGCTCATTTCAGACAACTCTGCAGGCTGAAGTTTTATGCTGCCGAGACCTTACAGGTAAGACTTTAAAAGAATAAGCCATAAGTAACAAGTAGAACATTTGAGCTCTTAAGGGAATCTACATTAGCAAATAAATAAAAATTGCCTAGCTTATAAATCTGCCATATTTTGGCTTATTTCTGCATTAGGAGTTGGCCTGAAATTTCAGTGCACATATTTTACTCAAATACACACTGGGAAAAAATAGTGTACATTTTAACTACAGTGCATTCTCTTGAGAAAACTGGTCTACCTGCTTTTCAGTATTTTCTAGCTTGTTAAAAAATAGTTCTGGGCTTAGAAATGTCAATACTTTTTTTCACTTCTGTAAAGTAACAACTTCAGTGCAACTTCCAAAATATTCTCAAAATAATGTCTCCTGTAGCAGGAGGTGTTAGGCCATGTGACATACTCTTTCTCTAAACCCTAGGGTCTCCCTGGTCGTCAGTGAGAGGCAGCTTGAAGCTTCATCAGGATAGCAGTGGATGATTTAAGACATTGCAGGTGTGACACGTGGGGAGGAACTCAGCACAGCCTCACTATTCCCACTGATATTTTATTCCATCTGATAGTTTAAGGGGTGCTGGATTATGACAGAGTTGTAAAGTTCTGTGCGTATTTAGCACTACCCAGGGACCCAGTCAATGTCATCCATTAGGTAAGAGTTTCCAGAAGAGGGAGCACTGAGGGTGACCAAGGCCTTCCTACCAAGCCAAGGGAGTGCTCTCCATCATTTTCTGCAACTCCTAGTGTTTTCTGGCCTCTTCTCAAAAAGAAAACCTAAGTCCAGGGTCAAGGGTGCTGGCACCCAGTAGGAAAGGAAGCCTGGAAGATGATTTGGGAGAAAGGGAAATTCTCTCGCTTGCCAGTATAGTTTCCTTAGTAACCAACATGTAAGTTTGTTTTTAAATTGCTTACACTTGGCATTATGTCATGGGCTCCTTACATTCCATGAGAAAAATCCAGTAAGTATTTTCACCAGTAGTTGCTGTTAACAACAATGTATCATATATTTCAAATCAGCTAGACAGAGAATTTTGGAAATTCATGTTTACAAAGGGATAATAAAGGTTTACATGACGGATATGCTAAAAACTGACTTGATCATACAGACCATATACATGCATCAAAATGTCACAGTATAATCTATATCTATGTGCAATAATTACGTGTCAAAATAAATTTAAATTTCTTTTAAATTAAAAAACTAAGGCACCAGCAGGTGGCATGGTGGCCCAGGCACTGGACTTCCACATGGCCAGCAGAAGTTGGAGTCCTGACAACTTGAAAATCACACTGGGTATGTGTACCTGTGTGCCCAAAACTCAGAGAGGAGAATAGAGATGAAGAGATTGTAGCATGGCCATGCCCCCTGGGGGGTGATTTCCCATTTCCCTTTCTTTGTCTTTCTCTAGCAAGTGTACATGCCCTATGCCAAAAATATCTTAAAAAACAAAATTTTAAAAAATTAATTAAAATGAAGAAACTGAGGATAAAGTTAAATAAATTACCCAAAATTACAGGATTAGTAATTATCAGTGCATATATGTTACTTCTTTGTTTAACCTCTCATCAATTTCCCCAAGGATTATATCCATGGTCCTTCATATATTCTATTTCCTTTGCTGCAAATGTCTCTCCGGATCATCTTTTCCCATAGTGCCCACCACAGTGAACAAAGTCAGCCCATTCAAGTCAGCTTCCTCAGCGTACCACACACCGCTTACAGAGGGGCCCATCCGACCTAATCTTGTTTCTTTGGCCATGTTCTGTGCTGGCTGAGGGTGGTATCCAGTACTTTTATGTTAATTTTAAATAGAAATTGAGTTTACGATGTTATGATGATGCTACCTTTGTTTCTATGAAAACTTTTTGAAGAAAAGAAATCATGAATATGGCTTTAAATGCTTCTCCATATTTTGACAGGAGACCTTTGTTTAATTTGCAGACAAACATCTTTGGAAAATTAGAGAGAGAGAGAGAGAGAGAGAGAGAGAGTATTGCTAGTGTTTATAAATGTAC